GAGGGAGTACATGGGGTGTTGTTTCCCTTCAACCTACCACTTAGGGCTGACTACTGGGGGTCATGATTTTGACTGTTTCTTACCAGAGTCAGAAAATGATCGGGGGGAGGGGTATTTCCCTTATATAGTTATAGCGTACTACTTAACTTAGGGGTCCAAACTTCTCCCAAGCCCAGCGTCCTTCAACTCAGAGCGCCAAAATCCGATGTCAGACGGACGGGGATCCAAGCTGGCGGGATAAATATATCGAGCATGAGCCTCGGCCTTGCCTTTTTTTGGAAGCCTTTTTTGCGGGGTATGGGCTGAGATGCTAAAATCGTTGCATTCTTTCTTTGTGTTTCACTTGTTTCTTCTGACAGTTTTCCTGCTTGAGAAGCAAGCAGTGTATTTGCTGGATGTTAAACTCAGTTAGAAAGAGTCCAAGCAAAGACGAACCAGTTGGAGGGTCCTGGTCTCGCAGTCCCGACATCCAGTCACTCCCAAAGTCTGAACAAATCCGGTCCCAACCTTACTTGAGTGCTACTAAGGAACATGTGTTACTGGAATTGCTGGGCCATGTCGGATTTGGCTGTGGCTCAACAAACCGTACCCAGAACGGAACCCTGGCAAGTGGAACGGACCAAAACCTGCGGTTTGCCCCGGCAGTGTGATTTTGAGCCACATCCATTTCTCAAACAGAGTACCTCAGCCAACTGCCGCAGCACTTCCCCCTTTGGGCCGCACAAAGGCGCTGGAAAGCGACCCCTGCAGTTTTTATCGGGCCCAGGTGACACCACGGAGGAGCGAGGGATGTCCAAAAAGGGTCGAGGGTAGATGTCATTTGGTTTCTTGGTTCTTGGTCCGTGTTCGGATGCTTGGTTTTGCCAGCTAGGTGCCCTTTCTCACCCCTTTTTTGGTTGGGAGGGTTCTCCTACTAAAATAGCCTACAGAAAAAGGGTACCCTTATTGTACCGGAGGACCTAGGATAGGCTCCTGGGTGTTTGTCATAGGTCAGAGCCACCCCCAGCATCGTAGACTCCCCCACTCCCCCTCCCCCGCCTCCGCCCCCCGTATAGTGCCCATGTAGTCTTGTGTTTGACTAGCAACAGTCTGGTAATACTGTGGATGGACGAAATCCTGCACCACCCAAGCACCATGAGACACCATTCCCCTCTTAGGGACATCCTGGGTGGGGGGATGGCAGGATCGGGGACCCCTCGTACTGCTTGTTTGCATTCTTTGGGTGTGTGTGTGGCTTTTAAGGGGACTGCTGTTTCCAATTCAAACCAACACAACTTTATCAGATTGCCTCCTGTTGGAATTGGTATCTGACATTGGAATCAAAAACAGTTTTGAACGGGTTCAATTTCCTTATCTAAGTCCATTCAAGTTGTCATTAAATACGACTTGAGCCAAGCCACAGGAAAGTGTGTCAAAGAACCCTTGACAACATTTTCAATCATCGATCCAGAGAAATAAGCAAAGTTTTTTGAAACCACAGAACTACCGAAACCACCCATAAGTGCCCAGCATCCAAGTAGCAAGCCAATACCTTCATAAGGCTCGCTTGCGAGTTTTGCTTTGGGGAGGAGTCACGCGGCAGAAAAGACTCAAGAACCCGCACAGACAGCAAAGCCAGCCGAGCAAAACTGTAGAAGCTGATATCCAAAAGCAGAGCAAGTCGGTACAAAAAGCCAACACCAGAAGCATACAAAAGCAACAATGGATCTGACAAAAGTTTGGTTGCCTCCAACAACCACCCCTGGTCTGTTGTTCCTTGTTTGTTTCGTGGAAAACACCCTGCCCCGGCAGATTGTTCTTATCTTGGGTTTTGTGGGGAAGCCACATATTGCCTGCGAAGCTTCAATCCAAAATAAGAACACCAGGTTGGATGCCCAAAAATCCTTCTGAAGAAGCACTCACACTTTTAAGATACATGAACCGACCCAAAGCTCAGAGGGTCCCTTTCGGAACAACTGGTATGTTTGAAGGGGCTTGAGAACCCTCATGTTTGTTTTTTTCTCTCTCTTTTCCTTTGTGTGGGGTCTTGTTCAGTAGTTCCGGACATATCCAGTGACTAAATTTGGTGAGGTGTCCCAGTCTTTTTCTCTTTAGCAAGGATGGCCCCTGAACACACGAGGATGGGATGGCAAGGCGAAACTTGAGGATTTGGCACGCGTCACGGAGGTACAGGGGTAGACTCCTTCGAGGGCCCTGGGCGAACTTCCCTGATCCTGAGCAAACGAAACCCGCAGGTATTCTTTGTTGCATTTTGCCAAGGGATGTTAGGACTTCAACTTTTTGCCAACTACTGGGCTTTCCGGATTAAACCACTAACAGTTATTCACTTTTAGCAGGGGTTAGCAGATTTCGCAACCGAGTATTTGTTCAAAACATCATGGTTGTTGTTGGGAAACATTTTGCATTTTTGCTTATTGTGGTTTAGTGGGAATCCCCACTCAACTGCTAAAATACGAATTGTTGCTCCCCTTTCAACGTCAACTAAGACATGGCGGGGGAGGGGGGGGGAATCCAACTCTTCCAAAAGTCGTCCTTGTGCTTGTCCCAGGACCCACAGGGCGATGGATGGTCGCCAGCGCACCTGGAGCGAGTGGGTGGGTTAAGCTGGCCGTGGTTGTCAACATCAATGGGATCCCATTTTGGTTGGTGGGTGATTTCACCACCAATTTGTGGACTGGCTTAGTGGGGATTGGGATGTTCACCGGGGGTACGATTTGGGCTTTGACCCATCTTGAAAAAGTCCTTGTGCCGCCAACAAACGAGTCTGAAATCTGATTAAAAGGGGGATACATCTACAATTGAGAAGCGAGACCATTCGTCTCGCACAAACAAGCTTTGTTGCATTTTGCTTGGATGTTAGGACTTTAACTTTTTGCTAACTAATGGGTTTTCCATTGAACCACTGAAAGTTATTCACTTTTCGCAGGGGAGCAGATGTCGCAACCGAGACAGTGATTGAAGCCGGTTTACCACATTGCACATATCTCACATGGGACATGCCCTCGTCCCTTGTGCCTCCGGGGAAGCGTGGCGCTTTCTGTTTCTCAGGTCCGCGACCTCGAGGAGCCGCGATCCCAGGAGCGGGAGACAGTTGGCGGGTGTTTAGGTTTGGGTCTTTTGGGGTTTGGGCTTGGGACTGGAATCTTTCATGTGAGGCATAGGCCTGGCGAAATGCACACCATGATACCAATCCGCACCAACCAGCCGGTATTGCCCAAGGGCAAGAAACACATCTCCTTAAAACGATGTCATGCTTTTGCTCTGCTGCAGAGCAGAAAAGTATTACCCTTCCTTCCATTGCCATAGCATGCGTTGGAGGGTACCTGGAAGATCCATTTCCCTGAAGAGCCTTTGTCAGGTGCAACATGTTCGTGGGAGGGCATGTTCCGTGTACCCCACTTCCATCTGCTTAGGAACATTTAGTATTTCCCCTGTTGGTTTAAAAGGGAATCTATCGCTATTGGACATACTGTGGATGGACGAAATCCTGCACCACCTATCAAACCAAGCCTCTGATGATTGCCGTGTAAATACCCACAAACGTTCTGATTTCCCATGTCTTCTTAGGTGCTGCGAAATGGATTTCGCAACCATCCACAGTGGGTTCTCGTTGTTGCATTTTGCCAAGGGATGTTAGGACTTTAACTTTTTGCCAACTAAAAGGTTTTCCGGATTAAACCACTAAAAGTTATTCACTTTTAGCCAGGGAGCAGAAAGCAGCCGAGTTTTCATGTTTTTCTCCCGGGGCGGATTTCGGCAAATGGACGCCCGGTAGGCCCAACTTTGTGTTGACGCGCAGGACAGCTCCTGGTTCCGGGCGGCTGTCCCCGAGTCGCAGAGGCGGCTTGTGAGTGGCTCCCAGGGGGCGGCTTAGAGAGGTTTTTTGAATCCGACCTTTTTAAGCTCTTGGCTTTCCTTTTTTTTGAAGCTTTGGGTTTTGTTTCTCCTTGGATTCTTTTTTTTCCCCCTTTTTTTCCAATCAAGCAACTCCTTGTTTGACCTCGCACCTTTTTCAGGTGGAACCCCCCAATGGGCGGTTTGGATTGGGATTTGAAGCCCTGGTCCGCAAGCGGAGGGTACCAAACCGCCAGTTAGAAGGAAGCTGACCATGGGAGCCCTCGTGCCCGCAGAAAACAACTGCAGGAAGCCACGGGGAAACCCCCCCCCCCCACGTGTTTCTTTTGCCGGGTGCTCCATTGTTGACGCACACATTGGGGTGATCGCTTCGAAGCGATCCGCCAAAGGCAGAGGCCATGAGTTTTTCCAAGGCAAAGAGAGAAGAGCCCCGCATGTCTCCATGGTTTTTTTGCTGAGCCTTGTGCCGTGGGAGCAAGAAGAACCTAACACACGTCCATAAGGCCAAAGGCCAAAGATTGCGCAACAACGCGAGTGGGGTCCGACGCTGAAGCTTAACTGGCAGGTTCTCTAAAGGGGGGAATTTCTTTTGGCGTCCCAAAATGGTTGGCACAACACTTTCCGATCGTTTTGAAGGATTTCCCTTTCACACCACAAAAAAGGGGGCACCTATTTTGAGAAGCATTCGGCGGTCGTTCGGAAGTCTTGGCAACTTCCCTGGAGCTGCCAGCGGTGCTTTGCTTTTTTCATGGCGTTTGCTTTGGGCGATGTTTATTCAGGCGGAAGCGGTTGCAGATTCAGCGCAAAACGCCCCATTCCAATTCTGTATTGATTGCACATGTTGTTCCTACTTGTCCTTTTTTTTCTCGTGTTGGGGCGAGTGAACCGACTTTTTATACTAGAGGGCTGCAAAGCAGTCCCGGATCCTGACGAGGGGTTTAGCCACTTTCTAGAATCGGAGCCCCAAAAAAAGGCCAGCCGGGTCCAAGGAAGCAAGGCTCCAGAGCCTCAAGACGCCTGCCTAAACTCTCCGTGACCCTTTCAAAATGGGTCCATGACCCCATTCTTTTGGGTAATGACCAACCATTTTTTAAGGGTCAGAAGGAGACTCCAGTTTGTTTTTTTTCCCCGCCGAACCGACCAACCCGAGCCTTCGGAGCGTTTCGGCTGAAGAGCGCCACTCGAGTCTCGAGCCGTCTTCGCGGATGTCGCCGGTGCAGCTGCCGTCCTCGAAGTTCTGGTCGGATGTCGGGGCATGGGAGAGCCTCAAGGCGGGCTGGGAGTTGCTATGGCTTGTTGGTTTCACCGGGGATTGGGGGTGCTTTTGTGCATTTTGCCAACGGATGTTAGGACTTCAACTTTTTGCCAACTAATGGGTTTTCCATTAAACCACACAAAAGTTAAACTTTTAGCAGGGGAGCAGAAAGCCACCGAGGAGTTGGTTTAGGGTAGGGGGCGGTCTAATGTTGCTTTCAAGTGGATGGACCAAATCCATCTACGCACCAGTTGGAATTGGTGGTTTACCCGCAGTGTTCATAGGCTTTCATCCACATCAACCTGAGGGTTGGTTTAGGGTAGGGTAGGTTTAAAATCCATGCAGTCACCCACCTGGATTGGAGGTTTACCCCCAGTGTTCATAAGCTTTCATCCGTGTCCACCGGTGCGAAGTGGACTTTGCGCCAAATCCAGGGTATCTGGATTTCACGGGAGCCAAGGATGAGTCCAGATGTGATCACCTTGAGAAGTTTGCTGGGTTTGCAACCAAACTGGTTACCCCCCCCAACAAACGTGGACGCGGACAGAGGGGTCGCCCAAAGGGAAAATCTTCCAACCCCCTCCGATCGTCAGCTTCCATGATTGTTGCAGGGAGGGTAAAGTTTGAGCTGATTCTGGTCAGCCGAGACACAAATAAAAACCTGCTTTTGCCCCACGCTTGCCATAGGTAGGGAATGACGGGTTTTGGGCATGAGAACGGAAGGGGATTCCCGAATAATTACATGGAATTCCCGAATAGTTTATTTCGTCATTCCCTCTTTCTCATTCCCTGCATCTCGCGCCCAACAAGCAAGGTTCACCTGAAACAAGAATCGGGGTTTTTAAAGCGCAACTGGGTCTGTCGCTTGTCAGGAGCCGATGAAGGTGCACTCCTGCCTCCTAGGCGGGGGATCAACAAGAATCTGTTGGGCTCAAGTGGGTGGCCGGCGCTCGCCTTTGGGTTATCCCTTGCACATAAATCCAAACGGGTGACCAAATCCAAAAAATCCCGTTTGGATTGATGACCACAAATGTTTTGGTACCCGAAAATTATTACTCCAGTTAAAACAGTTATCAACACCAAATTTAGGTTCCGACTTGGGTCCCACATTTTGGCAACGGAGTCATAAAGGAGGACACCAGTCCGAGGAATGCCCCTGCAATGCATGAAGGGGAAAGTCGTGCGATTCTGGGCTTGAGTGCCCTGGTTTCACATACGATTGCACTTTGAGATTTGCAACATATTTTGCTCCTGCGTTTTTCCCTTGGGCCCTCCTTGTGTAGGGTTGAGGGTAAGCCCGTTTGGCTCAAACACGTCCACCCTTTTTTCCCCAACAGCTGAAAGCTTTGGGGTCTCAGCCCAGATAGGCTCCGGGATGGTCCGGGGCGGCCCTGAGGTAAGGTTCCACGAGGGTTCCAGGAGGGTTCCACCAGAGTTCCACCAGGTTCTGCGAGGGCTGCGGGGTGGTCCGGGGTGGTTTGAGGCAAGGTTCCACGAGGGTTCGCTTGCCGGCCGGGGCCCGATTGCACCGTCGGGCCCCGCTCGGGCCCCGATTGCACCGTCGAGCCCCGCTCGGGCCCCGATTGCGCCATCAGGCCCCGATTGCGCCGTCGGGCCCCGATCGGGCCCCGATTGTGCCGTCGGGCCCCGATCAGGCCCCGATTGTGTCGTCGGGTACTGATCAGGGCGCGATTGCGCTGTCACTCTTGGCTTTGCTTCACAAAGTTACAAGGCGGCATCCTCAGCAAAACCGGCGGTGAGGTGGGTCTCGGGGCGGGTGTGGTGCTGTTGGGGATATCGCCTGAGCTTATTGTTTGGTACCCCACCCTTATTTTGACGCACAGTCACCCACCAATCGGGCCCAAAGGGCCATGTCCCGTGGCCGGGCAGTCCAAAAGGTCAGTTAGACTCCGAAGCGGCACGGAAAAGAGGTGGCTTTCTGCATGAAGCACCTCCGGGTTTCGGAAAGTAAGTTGGTTCCTACACTTCCAGTTGCTGAAACTTGAGTATGTTTTCTGCGTTTTCCAACCTGTTGGTTTTAAAGGGAATTGACTTCACTGGAAGTATGTTCTCTTTTTCCCCAACAGCTGAAAGCTTTGGGGTCTCAGCCCAGATAGGCTCCGGGGTGGTTCGGGGCGACCCTGAGCTAAGGTTCCACCAGGGTTCCACCAGGGGTTCCACCAGCGTTCCACCAGGTTCCAGGGTTCCACCACAGTTCCACCAGGGTTCCACCAGGGTTCTACCCAGGGTTCCACCAGGTTCTGCAAGGGCGGGGTGGTCTGGGGTGGTTTGAGGTAAGGTTCCACGAAGGGTTCGAGGGCTGCGGGTTTGAGGAAGGTTTTACGAGGGTTCCGCCAGGTCTGGGTGGTTTGAGGTAAGGTTCCACGAGGGTTCCACCAGGGATTTCCACCAGAATTCTGCCAGGGTTTCACCAGGTTCTGCAAGAGCTGCAGGGTGGTTCCACGGGTTCCACCAGGTTTCCACCAGGGTTCCACCAGCCCGTCGTGCTCCACCAATTTCTTCGAGGTTGAGGTAATGTTCCATGAGAATTCCACCAAGTTCCATTCCTTTCACGAGGTTCTGCAAGGGCTGCGGGGTCCGGGGTGGTTTGAGGTAAGGTTGTATGAGGGTTTCAGGGTTCCACAAGATTCTGCGAGGGCTGTGGGCCCTGAGGTTTCACAGGGTTCCACAAAGCTCTGCAAGGATTCCACGCGGGTTCCACGAGGCTCCACAATGCTCCACCAAGGGTGTGTCGTGCGTCCGTCGTCTGAAAAGCCATCGAATCAAGAATTGTTTTTAGCACACTTTCACTGTTTTGTGACTTGCCCACTTGCTCAGGCAAAATGTTGGCTTTGTGGCAAATCAGATCACGTCGCTGCGGAACTCACGGTGCAGCAGAGTAAATGCTTGGCGTTGCTGCTTGGTGGGCTTTGGGTTCCAAGAATTCCACGAGGCTGCGAGGGCTATGAGGTCAGAAGGTTTCCACCAAATTCTGCAAAAGCATGGGGCAGCCCTGAGGAAAGGTTCCAGCAAAGTTTCACGCTGAGCTCCACGGGCCTAGGTCGGGGCCCGATTGCAATGTCGGGGCCCGCCCGATTGCACCCGATCGGCCCCGATTGCGCCATCGCGCCCCGATCGGGGCCCGACTCAGTCGGGCCCTGTCAATTGTACCAAGCTGGCATTGCCTAGTTTTACTATAGATACAGTTGCAATCCGCATACTAAGGAAAACCGGCGTTGAGCTATAATATAGGTGGCTGGGGTTGCACCACGGGACGATTGGGGCCCGATTGCACCGCCGGGCCCCGATCGGGCCCCGATTGCACCGTCGGGCCCCGATCGGGCCCGATTGCACCGTCGGGCCCCGATCGGGCCCCGATTGCGCCGTCGGGGCCCGACTCAGTCGGGCCCCGTGAATATTGTACCAAGCTGGCATTGCCTAGTTTTACTATAGATACAGTTGCAATCCGCATGCTAAGGAAAACCGATAATATGGGTGGCTGGGGTTGCACCATGGGACGATCGGGGCCCGATTGCACCGTCGGGCCCCGATCGGATTGCACCGTCGGGCCCCGGTCGGGCCCCGATTGCGCCGTCGGGCCCCGATCAGGGCGAGATTGCGCTGTCACTCGTAGTTTGCTTTACAAGGCGGCATCCTCAGCAACACCGGCGGTAAGGATGGTCCCGGGGCGTTCCGCGAGGATTCTGGGAGGGTGTGGTGCTGTTGGGGATATCGCCCGATCTTATTTTTTCTTGGAGGACTCAAGCACAGGGAGGCAATACCAGTAGAGCGTGTATGTTTTGCTTGGGAATCTTGCTTTCTTCTGGAGCTGGCTAAGCATCTGAAGGCACGCCTAGGTTGCGGAACATGTGGTTATGGCGAGATTGCGTGAAACTGCTCGACATAGCAACTCCAGCGCCGTTCATATGGAACCGGTCCCAAACGTATTGAACGGTATTACCTTGAGATCTTGTCATCAAACTCCCAATGAAGTACGCACACACACACACACAAGGCAAGTGTTTCTTATTTTTAGAGATGCTGGCCAGCCGCGTTGAGAGGATCACTTTTTGCATGTTCTCCTGCACTCTTCAGACGGGATTCCTTCTTAAAAGGTCATTCGCCTCTTAACCTGATTAGGCAGCAACACCAATGTGTTTTCGTTGCAAGATTATTTGCCCTGACAGGGGGGGAGGGCTTGTTTAAGAATAAAATGATCTTCCAGGTACCTTGCAATATGGTCTCCATTGGATGGACCAAATCCTGCACCAGCTGGTAGCTGGTGGGGGATTGGGTCCCAACAGGTTCATCCATCGCAAGTAGTGCGAAGCAAATATAACCCAGCCACGGTATGTCTCGATCATGTCCGGTGCCAAGCAACGCAGGATCCACTTGTGATCCATGCACAAAGATCACAGCGCCAAAAATCCACGGTATGCTAGTGTTCTTATAATGGTTCGGCCAAAGTTAGGCACAAGAAGCGAACGGAGCCGTTGAGGCTGCCATTTCGCGCTTGGCGGGAAGCTCAGAGCTGTCAAACTCGTCGGGCCAGAAAACGGTGGTTTACCCAGATGTGAGGGTCTGTGCCTCAGTCGTCCCTGAAGTTATTTTGGGGGAAGCACGTTTTTTTGTTTGGTGCGTCAAAAGGGGGGAGGGGAAACCCCATTCTGTGGTGCGTACGGGGGAGGGGTTTTCCCATTCTGGACAAGGGGAAACGCAGTGGTGTGCTTCGTTCTCGAGGGACCAACACTTTCACGTTGAGGGAACCTTGTGAAGTCCCCAATTTTGCTAACGGTTGGCACACAAACAAGAGGCCCCGTGTTGAGTCACACCTCCTACAAAGCAGTGAGGTGTTTAGAGCGCGAAAGAAGAAGAATGAAAAAAAACACCGCACCGGCTTCTCGAAACAAAGTCGAGATGGTTCCAAAACGGATCCCAAAAATCTTGCTTTAGGAAACCATGCTTCCGTCCTCCTAGGGTGTTGCCCTATCCCCAAACCCACTGGGGCAAATGCGTTCATGCCACTCCAGCCATGGTGGGGTGAAATCACTCACCTCCACGTCTTTTTTTTTTTGCGGCCATGGACTTTTCACCTCCATGATTTTTTTGCGGCGACGGCGAATGTCCATCGCATGCGTCGTGTGTCTGAGATGTGCCTCCACTCAGCTGGGACGGTCGGCTTCTCAGGGCCGATCGACCGATCGACCGATCGACCGATTCGCGCATCGGAATCGAGGAGGCCATGGGCAACCGTCAAAAGCTGAAGCGAAGGTCAATTGGCAACTCCAGCCATAGCTGCGGATGGTTGTGAAATCCATCTCGCACCACCCAAGAAGCTAAGAAGCCATGCTTTCTCCCATCTACTTCACCCCAAAAGCCAGCAACAGTGACTTAAACAACAGAAACTTGGCTATCTAGGTGGAAACCATAAGGCTTGTTGGTAATTATTTCCCGGGGAATCCTCAAAAACACCCGGATTGACCTCGCCCCCCGGTGCGGATCTCGGCTCTGTCGGCCACTGGTGCTACTCCAGAGACGGGGTTCAGTGCTTGATCTCCGCGTGGGTAGTCAAAGCTGGACATCATATCTTCTATCTGCATATATATATATATATACGTATACATATATATATATATATACGTATATATATATATATACATAGGCCCTGGGGGGGGGGGGTGAGCATATATATATATATATATATGTAGTATGGATAAGGGATCAGGCCAGGCTTCCATCGATTTTAATGACTTTGATTGGCACCTACGAAAACGGTTGGTGCACCTAAAAACCAAGCATTTGATATCCACCAAACAAATTTGCTAATTGAAACTCACTCCCAGCTTTTCGGGCACGGACTCAAACACCGAGGTTGATTCTTCAAAAAAGAGCAGCTTGGGGCAACAGAAAAGCGGGAGGTTTGGTGCCAGTTTTGTGGTTGTAAATGGGACCCAACGCCGCCCTGCCCGAGTTGGTCTGGATTGCTTTTGGATTTACATTTCGTTGGCGCAAAAGCGATAGCTTGCTTTTTTGGGTCAAGGATCGCGGCGACAGGACAGCCCTTTCATTCAATTTGGTTGGTGGAAATGAATCGCGAACGGATGCCAACCAAAGGGTCCGGGGACCCATTCAAATTATGGTCGGCCCCTAAATGGCAACGGTTTCCGTTTGGTTCCGCTCTTCTCCTATGCACCAATCGGGGTTCGCAATTCATTCTGAGAAACTCCCATTGGGTGGATGCTGCGTCAATTGAGTCGATCAGGCTTCGAAGTTTGACGTTCTTTTTTTCGACCTTTCCTGCTGCGGCAGACCTCCAGAGGCAGGGCATCTGGTTGCAGCCCCTTGGTGTAACCCTGGTATCCAGGTGTACCCTTAAGGCCTTAGGCTTTGAAGTGGCAGCAATTTTCACCCTCTGAGACATACGTGGCAGTGGGTTTGCGACCACGAATCACTTGCCCGGCCTGCCAGGATCACAAAGTGGGTTTTTTGAAGGGAGGGAGGACCACTGGGCAAGATCCCGGCTCGCAAAGGAGCCCGGAGCGTCCCCAACCCGAAGCAACCCAGGGGTGTTCTCAACTACCTTTGACTGCTATAGGGTTGGATCTTTAGACTTTAACTTTTCGGGAAATCAAGGTGCTTTCCACTAAACCCCCAAAAAGTTGAACACTTTTTGCAGGGGGGTCAACAGCAACCAAGGAGTCCTACCCCTGGATCGGAAATCTCGTGGCGAGGGCTTTCGCCAGCGTGAGGTACATCGGAGCATGGCCTTCATCCAAGCAGCGGCCTATGGCAAGGTGTCACTAAGAAGCTTCGCTTGGAGCAAGCCTCGTGATTTTTTTGGGGGTCCCCTTTTTCCCCCATAGGCCACTCCTACACACCCCTTTACCCTACCCTTCTAGGCAACCCCTAGCACCCACAACTGCTTATTCAATGATGTCCAAAATACGTTTTGTACTGTCCAAGAGGCAGTGGTTGGGGATGCTGGTAGTTGGTGGTTTGGGTTGGTTTGGGGACTTGAACCCTTGCTTTTGCAGAGGGTGTACACGGGAAGTTCAAACCACCAATCCCAACCAATTGGAGGGAAGCTGACATACCCCCCCACTCACCGCGATTGTGCGGAACTCTTTTTTTTTGGTTGGGGGGGAGGGACAGGGGGGGGTTCTGGGTCGTTTTTGTTCCATGGCTCAGGATGATGATTCGGAACATTCCGTCGCGGTGCCAGCGGATGGAAGTGGAGCAGCTCATTCAGCCCATCACTCGCGACTTCAAGCTGGAGTGGCCCAAGCTATCCAGCAGCAAGTGCAAAGGCTACGCCTTCGTGGAGGCTGGAAGACATCCTTTGTTGCATTTTGCCAAGGGATGTTAGGACTTTAACTTTCTGCCAACTAATGGGTTTTCCGGATTGAACCACTCAAAGTTATTCACTTTTAGCAGGGGAGCAGAAAGCAACCGAGCATCCATTTGCTGAACTGAACACTTGTTATTTTCCCTTGCTGGTTTTAAAGGGAATCGATTTCACTGCTGGAAATATGTTTGTGTTTTTCCAGCGGGCTTAAGCAAATGGAAGAAGATGGGGTTCTTTGCCATCCTTGAAAGAAGGTAGTGGTTGAACGACGAGTACCACAGGGGCCATTCTTAGCAAATTCCAGTGCAGGGCTAGTTTGTGGGGGTATGCTTTTTAAGGTGGGTTTGGGTTCCCTAACTTGCTGCTGCGGGAATGCGGGAATGAACCTGGAACCACCAGTTGGATGGATTTCTCAATAACTTCGTCACGAGCCATTTCTGTTTCAAGCATTTTGCCAAGGGATGTTAGGACTTTAAGACTTTTTGCCAACTAGTGGGTTTTCCATAAAACCCACGGACAGTTAAAATCTTAGCAGGGCTTCGCAGATTTCGCCACCGAGTTCTGTGGGCCCCTGCGTCGCATTTCTGGGGTCGGAGGTTGAGAGCCCGGCGATCATGCAGCGCCTGGTGTACGCCTTGTGGCAAGCCAACGTGCCCACGCGCCAATCCAAGAAGCCGCTCCAGATTTGCCCGGCGAATGCTCAGCACGGACCGCCTTGAACGTGGGGGAGGGGGGGGGAGGGCGGGGGAGGGGGATGATTTATTCTCCCATCTTTGATTTGCATCGCATTTTTTCACAAGTTGAGGCAGGCGTCATGGAACTACGGGTGGATTGATTCGGCAACAAACATGGCAATGGGCCAATGGAGCAGCAAGGTCTCCCCCGAGAAAACCCCTCCCCCTCAAGGAGCTTGAGCGCCAGCCTTCAAACCAGGGCGACCTATCAGGCGGAAGTCCGCCCCCACGAAGAGGCGTAGATGTGATGCTTCAGCTCCGTGCTCGCCGGCGCTTCAACGGAGCTTCCTAAGCTATTGATTATTGCTGGTTGTCCCCTGTCCTCTTCATGCGTGCTTAGGACACGTTTCTTTCGGGTGCAGTGTTGAGACAGTCGTAATCACTGGGCCAAAGTGATTTTGCGTTAGCGGAAATCTGATCCATCGGGAGGCCCAGGGTAGTAAAAGAAAGAGATTGAATTAACGGGGAAACTCTACGAACACCTTTGAGCAGGTGGCATGTGCTTGTTTTTTGTTTTTGTGTGTCGTGTGTGTGTGTGTGTGTCGGTGTGTGTGTGTGTGTGCTCTGTGTGCTCTGTGTGCTCTGTGTGCTCTGTGTGCTCTGTGTGCTGTGTGTGTGTGGGTGCGTGTGTGCGTGCGCGTGTGCGTGCGGGCGTGCGTGCGTGCGTGCGTGCGTGGGTGGGTGGGTGGGTGGGTGGGTGGGTGGGTGGGTGGGTGGGTGGGTGGGTGGGTGGGTGGGTGGGTGGGTGGGTGGGTGTATTTGTGTGTGCGTGTGTGTGCAAACCTCGCGCAAGAAAGAGGGGTCCGTAGGACTTCGGCGAGAGGACTTTTTGCTCTGACATTGGCAAGAAATTGCACGTAATTCATCAGCAGGGGGGCAGGGCCTCCACTCACTACCATGCCCAACGAAGCTATGTGAGTGGAGGGGAAGCCTGGACTGGCCATCCAGGTGTGCCTGCATGTTGACCTAAGTCTCGTGATTTCTTCCTGATTCATACCTACACATCTCTACGTGGGCCAACGAACGGAAATGCCGGGCATTTCGGGGACGGTTTCGACAAGCGGGATTGAGTTACACACCGGTTTTGATTTCTCACATCTTTCGTCTGGTCCAACATTTGCTACGCTTCAGTCTTGCCAGTGAAGTGTGCAACCTCTGCAGGGTGCCAGCATGGACCCCCTGCAGCGCCAGCGCTTTGCGGTGCTGTTGCTGCTCTTTGGAGACCTGTTTTACCGATCTTTTCCTCGCGCACTTACAAGCCAGGCCCTGTTGGTCGACCTACGTTATGTGGATAACAGAGTTCTTTTTCATATGCGCGAACAGACACAGACCTCCATGTGGCGAGTGTTCACCGACCAGGAGTTTTTTGTTTCCCCGTTGTTGCCGGATGATGGGGTCCAGCTTTTAGGATTTCGCACTGACGTTTTACAACGGACAGTTACGACGCAGCTCCCAACTTCCTCGTCCATGTATCGCTCGTGTCGAAGTGCCAACTCCGATTCATTTCTTTTGTCTGGGTTTCGGGCACGTGCTCTCCGAATCTGCAGATTTACACAACCAAAAAATTGATTCAGCTAGAGGATTTGGTAGAGGCATATCGCTGGCAGGGAGTACCCATCTCCCTCCTCAAGCCCCTTTTGCAGCCAATCTTTGCACGATTTCAATTAAAGAGGAAAAGAACGTTGTGGACTGATGTAGCTTGCGTGGGGCCATTGCCACGGTTTTTGCCCACTTTTCTCTTCTTGTCAAATTTCCGATCACCGGGCCTTGGCACTAGTACCCAAGGGGGTTGGGTTAGATGGGGACGGAGACATTGTCATCCTTTGCTGGGTCACCATTCTGACTTTGACAAGTTGAAGACAGTTGCCCAAGCCCAGCTTGATTTCACCGCCATTACAGAAAGCCAGAAAGCGAAGTTCGTCAAGTTTTGGAGTGAGCTCAAGTTTTGTCTGGAAAAGGGCTTGCTGTGCGGCATTATTGTTTTTTATGCCAGAAAAACAGCGCTGACCACACGCTTGACTAGACCAATGTTCCTTGTCAAACCACTTGCTCAGTTTCCGTGTCACCACGCGCGCGGTTTGCCATGCACTGACGCATGCGAACGCAACTAAGGCGCTGCCCTATACTACCCGCTAAGGACTAACAATCGCCAGCATGCTGAACAAGTTGCAGGCTGCCCGCGCCCCCCCTCCCCCCCCCAAGACCCCGCCCCTCCCCCCCGAAAAAAAACCAAGCCCAAGAGGTCTTCAAGGCTAGTGAGCCTGGACAATTTGACTCACGGTGTCAATGGATCCCGCTCTTCCGCGCTTGCCGCCTTGTCGAAGGACTTCCGCCAGCGCAACCCGCACAGGCCGACTCGTTATCTTAGGGCTGGAAACTGCACCGTTCCCCCCGCACAATGAGCTATTTTCCAACTTTTTCACGAGTAGTCTTCGCCCCTCCGAGAACGCGTGTGTGTGTGTGTGTGTGTGTGTGCGCAACCCTCGCGCAAGAAAGAGGGGTCGTAGGACTTGGGCCGGAGGATTTTTTTGCTCTGACATTGGCAAGAAATTGCACGCAATTCATCAGCTACCATGCCCAACGAAGCTGTGAGTGGAGGGGAAGCCTGGACTGGCCATCCAGGTGTACCTGCATGTTGACCTAAGATTTTTCAGCGATTGCTTGGTTTGACTGGGGTTTGCCGCGTTCTGTGTTGCAGAAAGTGATGGCGTTCACCCCTGTCCATTTCACTTGCTTGATCAAGATTGCTATGGAAACTCATTATGTACTGTGTGTGTGGGTGTGCGGCGTGTGCGTGCGTGTGCGTGTGCGTGTGCGTGTGCGTGTGCGTGCGCGTGCGCGTGCGCGTGCGCGTGCGCGTGCGTGCGAGTGCGTGTGCGTGTTCTCTCTCTCTCTGTGTGTGTGTGCGTTTGCGTGCGCGTGTGCGTCTGCGTGTGTGTGTGTGTGTGTGTCTCTGTGTGTGTGTGTGAGTGTGTGTCTCTGCTGGGTCTGTTTGTGTCTGGTGTCTGTCTGCGTCTGTCTGTTTCAGTTTGTGTCTGTCTCTGTCTGTCCAGCCGTCTGCCTGTCTGTCTGTCTGTCCGTCCGTCTGCTTGCGTTTTTGTGGGTATTCTTTTCCAAAGCCACCAGTGAACCCTTTTTTGGACACACGCAAATTTGACTTCTTGGCGCTGACTCGGCAATGATGCACGCGCTGAAGAAGCGCACCGAGCGCGTGAAATTCGTATCCTGAGACTGCGGCATTGCATGAATTGTCTTCTTACCACCGAAATGGGACCCAACGCACATGGCTTTCTGTGCGGTTTGAATGTACCGCTGTCACCTTGGTTTGTAAACACCACATTTTGTGGCCCCCTTTATGTTACAAAAAGAAGCCTTGAAAGGAGGGTTTTGATTCCACGCTTTTCCAAATCACCCCAATCACCCTTTGCGAAACTTTGTTGCATTTTGCTTGGATGTTAGGACTTTGACTTTTTGCCAACTACTGGGTTTTCCATCAAACCACTCAAAATTATTCACTTTTAGCAGGGGAGCAGAAAGCAACGGAGGAAAGGAGCCTCCATTAAAAGGCGTGGGAAAGATGAGCTGTTGTTTTCACCCGTTGGGGTCCCGGAGGCTGGTGCGGCATCGGAATTCCGCGAGTCTGGGCTGGAGCTTTTTTGGCTGGTCCTAAGACCAGCAGCGCCCAAAGCGATCCGAGGGCCATGGCCATTTGAAGGTCGGGTCCGCTTTTATGACTGGGTATGTTTCTAATAGAACGGTGTTTTCCTAATTCAGAACCCTGTGACTGGCGGCTAGCGCCGCGCCCTCAGTGCACTTGGCATGCCGCAAAGATGGAAAACAACACGTGACTGTTTCGAGGTTCGCTTGAATAGAACGTTCTTCCCCGCCTAACAAACATGGTAGAACCAACAAGTACAGGGTTTCTTTCTCTACGCTGACCTGGTCTCCTCCAAGGACGATGCCTAGATGCCGGCCCTGATTCGCTTTAATGTGATATTTTTTTGGGTTCGCTTTAATGACACACTTTTTTGGGGTTGCTGAAATTCCCAGCTAAAGGCATTGCATTCGCCTTGTACTTTGAAAGGGCGGCTCATCCTAAGCTTTGCCCAGCTCTTGGCAATACCAAAGTACTGGGAATCTGAGAAGTCAATCTTGGCAATACGAAACCTCATCTTGGCAATACTACGTACGAGCAAGCCCAAATCCCACGCCGGGCCCCCGGGATTTTCACCAACCCCGGGGACTGGTTTCATTGCTCGGCCGGGGGCTGGGGGGGTAGCATTAAAGCAGACCCAAGATTTAGGAGGTTCAGGTCGGTTTTAGGGCAGTGTTTTAGGGCAGTGTTTTAGGGGCCTTCGGAAGGCTGGACGCATGTTGGTCCAAGCAAACACCAACAAAGCACTCGATTTTGGTCGCTGCTCGAACCGATTTTCTGCTTGGCGACGTAAAAGTTGGCCTTGCCGCAAGCTGCGCAATGGGTCCGCCGATGGCTTTGCTAGACACTGGGTGCGCATCTCTTTTCGCTCGCCAGGAAATGTTCATCCCCGAGCATCATTGGACCCTTATGGGGGCTGGGGGGGAGGGAGGCGAGGGGGAGGGAGCCCAAATAAGCCCATGGAAGGGTTTGGAGCTCAAAAGACTTTGTATGCCAAGATGTAACATTGTCAAAGCCATGGTTCTTCCACTTCCATCGGCGTGACCTCTCTTGTCTCTTGCGGAAAGGCTTGAGAGTCCCAAGACTGAGCTTTGCTCGCTGTCGTGTCCGTTTGCTCCATGCAACAGACTCGTCACCGCTCGTGCGGACGTGCGTTTTTCTTCTCCATTTTGCTGGTGGCTTTGCTGTGGAGCCTTTGCGCCATCGCGCTATCTCATGGACTGTCCAACGTTGGTGTGTGCTTGAAGATGTTTTGTTCGAGCTAGCGTCATTTTGGTGTCAAGGGAAACCATGTTGGCGTTCAAGTCCGTGAGGCCCACACGCAACCCGGGCGAATC